TCATTTTTCAGTACGACCTGGCACCTGCTCTCACTGCCAAAACCACTGGTAAAGGGTTTACTGACCATGGTATTGTAATGATAAAGAATTTGGTTTGCAAATAAACTATAAAGATGTTATTATCAGAACCACATTCAGATGCTATCTGTGTGTCTACTTTACCTGGATTAAGAGACCCCCTTGGTGGATCCGAAAGTGAGAGGTCGTATGACCGCTGGCACCGGAGGGCTGTAGAGGACCGAGGTGCCGGTTCTTTCAGTCCAGAGATGTCTCTCGGGTCACGACAGATGGATGAAACCGAGCGTCTTAAAAATAACTCTGAAGGAGTTTGGAGTCAGCTTTGTTCTGCAGGAAACTATCTTGTTGGTTCAGTTTCAAAGGTGCGAAAAAGGTTTAAGGTTTTGACGACGTGTCAAAATCCTTCTGGTTAGAGAGGTGCTAAAGATGGCCGGTCTGAAGCTCGCTCTAGAACTGTCGAACTGTTGCACTGTTCGAACTGTTCTGTCTGAAGTTGAACTCAGGGAAAACCAGAGTAAAACTAGTTTTAACGGATTGATGTTATCTTGAATAGCCAACCAGAGGTTGGCACGTTTGGATGTTACCAAGCATCGCAGAGACACTCCCTCTGTGATGGAGACTCCAAATCTGTGCAAAAGGTTAACTTATGTGTCATGCATTAACTTATGTTTATGTTTATGTGCTTAGCAGACGCTTTTACCCAAAGCGACTTACAAAAATTATTTTTTTTAACCTATAGGGCATGTTGTGATCTGTGGGGGAAACCGGAGTACCCGGAGAAAACCCACGCATGCATGGGGAGAACACGCAACTCCACGCAGAAAGGCGAGTTTTGACCTGCGACCTTCGTGCTGCGAAGCAACAGTGCTAACCACTGCGCCACCATGTAACTTAACTTTACTCGTGAGTGCAAATGTTATGACCTCGTCAAGTAAACATACTAAAACAATCGTTGAGCACAGATTAATGAAACATTTCATTATTTATAATTGGCAATAACAAAAGTTCATTCAATGATTACTTTTAATTATAAAATCTTCTTTTCTTCTGTAAAGGAGTTTATTTTAAAAGAGTTCCTCTGTGATGGACCTTGGAGGAAAAGATGTTATTGTTTATGATTTATTATCTCTGCAGTCCAGCTGGTGTGAGGAAGTAGGCGCTGATTAAAGGGGCTACGTGCAGACTCTCTGACTCCTGTCAGGGGAAAATACAGTAAGATGTGTCATAGCCAGGGTAAGTTGACCTGGCTGTGCATTTGACCTGTGGGATCTCAAAATCAGGCCACTTCGTGACGTCACAGTATTACTGTGCTCAATTGGCCTGCCAACTCTCCTGACCTGAACCCCATAGAGCATCTGTGGGATATTGTGAAGAGAAAGGTGAGAGACACAAGACCCAACACTCTGGATGAGCTTAAGGCCGCTATTGAAGCATCCTGGGCCTCCATAACACCTCAGCAGTGCCACAGGCTGATTGCCTCCATGCCACGCCGCATTGAAGCAGTCATTTCTGCAAAAGGGTTCCCGACCAAGTATTGAGTGCATAACTGAACATAATTATTTGAAGGTTGACTTTTTTTGTATTAAAAACACTTTTCTTTTATTGGTCGAATGAAATATGCTAATTTTTTAGATAGGAATTTTGGGTTTTCATGAGCTGTATGCCAAAATCATCAATATTAGAAACAATAAAAGGCTTGACCTACTCCAGGTGTGTGTAATGAATCTAAATTTGAAAGTCTTATGTTTATCAGTACATTACAGAAAATAATTAACTTTATCACAATATGCAATTTTTTTTAGAAGGACCTGTAGATATACAGGTGAGACCTCTATCACCTGATGAGCAGACCATGCACCAGTTAATGAGTGGAATAGATTGTTCTCTTCAATCATAACTTGAGGAGCTTGCCAACTGTGTCATTCGCTGTCTCAGTAACATCTGGTTACAAGTCGTGCATCCCTGACAGGACATTGGGATTAAAGTAAGTAAACACATTCATAATGACAGCTGTGGCAATAAAACTCAGCCATGACTGTGAGGGTTAGGGTTTTATCAAGTGTCTCAATGGAACCTATCTAACTGAGCAGGTAACAGACATGACTGTTATAAATCCAACCAGAAAGAGATGAGGCTGTCAATGAAACTTTCACAACTCAGATGCAAATATCAAAGCAGTGGAAGCGATGCTTTGTTTCTGGGGAAATGTTACATTTGGGTAACAGCAACGCGATTCTGCCACTGACTTGCAACGTGGATGTTTTATCTCCACAAATTACATAAGCCTGGAGGAGCTTCTGCTGTGTGGTGAAGTTGCTAATGTTAATGGTTAGCTCAAACTAGCCCTTCTTAACTGAATCGCGAACGTTAAAAAAAACAACAAAACACTTTGCCGTGAGTCAAGATCGGCGAGTCAATGACTGCTAACTCACAGTGTGACGTAGATCTGACAGGATTTTCTAATCCTACAGTTTCACCATCTGTTTATCAGAAGCTAACGCTGGAGATAGGTGTAGGAGGCTATTTTCATGTTCAGCCTGCATGAAAAAGTTGAATTATAATCAGAAATAAAGATTAAAAATGGGTTTTTGGTGAGCCACACCCTTTAAAGCTTCAAATATTTACTTTGTTATCCACATCCTGAATGGCCTGATTGAAGGTATTAGCGTTTACGTCCTGTAGGACTGAGGAGCAAACATTATCAATATTCCCATTTCAGAGTCACGTGCAAATAATTTCACATTAAATTGTTATTTTAGAACAAATATCAAGAAATTCCTGCCATATATGATCCATGGATGCATCCGAAATGCCAAATCTTTGATGATGCTTGTAATATTTATGCTTGTAAAAATACAGATTTCTATTAAATGTGAACAATAAGGTTCGTTCAGTATAAAGTTCATGGTACAACTCGGTATGATTTTTTAGTTGTTTTATGACGCCAGCATTTTGCTGCATTTGTATTAGCTCATCAGTCGTGTTGTGTGTCTACACTAAGTAGGATTATTACATCTTTAACAAACGAAGGTTTTCCAGCACTTTACTCTGATTTTACACATATGTGACATGATTATTACAAATATGCTCAAAATGTTCATTTCACGTCCTTAAAAATCTCATTAAAATAAAAGTTATTAGGCTATACCCAATCTCGGATACGTTTCTTTTAAAATTGTAAGCATTGTAAGGTTGTTGAGGAAGATCGTATGAGTAAGATCAACATTGTTCATAAAGTTTTCCAGAGATTCAGTTTTTACAATAATCAGCAAATCCCTTAAAGGTGAACAGGTAACCTCCAAAGAGACAAAGCAACATGACTTGTGTGAACTTCATTAGCACGTGGAAGGTAGTGGTTTTAATCTGCTGGCTGCAGCATCTAACAAGCATCTTCACTTTTTCTGCCAGTAAAGAACTTTTGTCTCTTTTTCTGCTCAACCTTGATCGCATGTCAAACATTGATGTGGTGGGTGGCGATCCATCGGTCATTGTGCCTGATCTCATCCTGGCCTTCAACAGCAGCCTCCCAGATGCCTCATCTACCAGCCCACTGTCTCCAAACCTCCATTAAGTCATCTATCGTCCTCCGCCCCACCAGAGATGATCCACTCGCTCGTCTTGTTTCACTCTCCCTTTCGTTGTCTTCAAGAAGACGACTCGTTGTTTTGGTTCAATCTCACAGATAATTTTGCTTCTTAACAAAGACAGAGATTTAAAATAATCAACTGAATAAAATCAAAACAGAAAGTCAATTTGGTGCTAATAACATGGATTTTACATTTAGGAGTCCAATTGGTCAAATACTGCCTATTAATAGCTTCAGATTGAGCACCATCCACCTCGATGTTCCATAACTCCAAACACAATCAGGGATTTTTCTGAATTTCATTCACACCCTTTATTTCCACCCCTCATCGCCTCTGTTTGGATGGATCCTTGTTAAGTGAGCGCTCTATTTAACAGGACTGTTTAAAGAAGCCACCTGACGGGTGTCAGACGGACCTGGGCGAGGTTGGATAATTGAGCCGAGTGAAAAGATAATTAATGGAGAATCAATGAGCAAGATGGGATGGGGTTAGGAGAGGAAGGTATAGCGGGCATTCAGGGGATCTAATCTAATACGGATGAATTATTTAACAGGCTAAAATGACTTGAATGACAATATACAGCACATCTTCACCTTTGTGATCTGACGAATGTGCAATTCAAAATTAGGAACGGAAGGACTATTTCACATCCTCAAAAATTACATCTGAATGTTTGTTGCAACACGTTTGAGTGAGAGCTGAACTTATTTATGTTTAAATGAATGAATGAATGAATGAATGAGTAAAAACAGAGTTGAATAATATTTCCTAGATTTTGGACAGCTCTGGTGAAATCCTTGTGATTTATCCCACCTCTCTGCTCCTCTTCCTCCCAGCAGCCCCTCTGTCTTTAATTAGTGTCTGGGGAATGAGGCAGTGGATGAGTGGACTGTCAATGTTAAATTCATTATTTCTTTAGCTGAGGTGCAAACTGACTGGTCCACATTCTGACAGACATTTCTCCCGTGCTCTTTTGCACTTCTGTTTAGGTGATAATCAAGCTTCGTGTGTGATACTTACTAATTAGTCTGTTCTTTTCAGCAGCGGGGCCTGAATTCCACCACCTGTCATTTAGCCAAAGCACGCGTGGGAATCTAAATATCTGTGGCAGAAATGTTTAGCTGCATAGTAAACGAATTCCTCTTAATGAGGAGAAGAATTGCCGTTTCCTTCTTGGGTGTCCATGATGCCACCTCCTAAGTGGAATGTGCTCTGAATCTGAAGAGCCCAATGTTGCAGGGGTGAATATGAGTTTATGGTGAAACACAACAGTCTGCAATCAGAAACAACGGTTGCATGGTCATGTGTAGCATTTACAAGCAGACACACCTTCCTGCACATGCATGTTTACACACACACACACACACACACACACACACACACAGTTTTACTAACCAGTCCATTCTTCCTCAGGTCTGCCCACATGCTTGTCCCATCGCCACCTCTCATTAGAACATGGTAGGTGAAAAAATAGATGCCAGGCAGCGGGCAGGTGAACTTTCCAGTGCTGGGCTCGTAGTAGTTACCCACATTGGTCACCACATCATCAAATTTCAGTATTTCATTGCCCTCATGCTGCTTGCGCAGCCCTGCATAAAATGCAATTTTTGGAGTGTAGATTGCTGGAGAATAGCCGCTGGGGCCTGGACCAGGTAGCCCCTGTGGCCCTGGCTTGCCTGGCTCTCCAGGAGGTCCACGCTCTCCTTGAGGACCAGGCATCCCCGGAGGCCCCCGAAGTCCGGGCTTTATCTTCTTTCCTGTGTAATCCTGGGGAGGTGGAGACACAGCCGTGAGCTCTTGGCCCGGCTGTGAAGTGGTGTAAGGATCACACACCATCCTGCAACTCCCAAGCATCTCATAATGGCTCCCTGCACTTCCAGTTGGAGCCCCTTTGGTTGTGTGAACCAGCAGGGGAATAGCCACCAACAGAATCAGAACCATGGCCACACCTACAGCCGCAACTATAACGCGTTTCCTTCGGCTGAGCCGGGAAGCGGCCGACGTGAGGAAGTCCTCTTCCACCTTAGCTGGAATAGTGCCGGCCAGGATGAAGCCTTTCTGAGGACCAGTTTGAAAAGAAAAGGTGAGGAAGAAGAAGAGGAGCGGAGGGGGGATCAGTGTATTGCCTGGTCAAGTATGAGCAAAAAATCAAAATGGCAGAATGCCAGGAAGGAAACAACTGGAGGTGAAAATCCAGGAGCAAAAAAAACTATAGTTTGAACACTGAACAGCATTTAAACTAAATATGTCCAAGAGTCTCAAAAAAAAGTATTTTTAGAAAAATATCCAGGACATGGCTCGGGTTCAAAGAAACACACAAACATCATGTTTTTCTTTTTGTCTTGATGTCCTGTTGTTTTGAATTTGGGCATCAAACAGATTTAAATACTAACATGAGGACGATTAGTACCAAATTTAAGTAAAGTGGAAGTAATATTTCAATTTTGTTCATTAAGGTACAATGTGTGTCTTTTTACAACGCAAAATAAAGCCCAAATAAAATATCAAGGGATCACTTTATGTGGATGTCTCCATAAATATCTGGAATGGGATGGAAAAAAGTTCAGAGGATTTGGTTCCCACTCATTTGAAGATCATTAAATTTTAAAAAAGGGTGTTCCTCTTTGTTCTGCTTTGGCTGGATCCTCCTGTCTATTTCTGCATCTGAAATGAAGATTTACAAAGTGAAGACTTTAATGTTTGATTTGGCCGCAGTTGGACTTCATTTGTTTGAAACAGTTTTTAAAGACATTTTTGTGGATAAAGCAAACCAACTTCAGAAGTTAAAGGAGAAAACACAATAAGGTATAAAAGAAAAACTTACCTTCTGTTTGTTTTAATAACAAAAGAATCCGGATTTTTGCGCGTCGGTTTCTCCAAAACGTCCAAAGTATTTCAGACAAAGTGCGCACGCATCAATTTCCAGGTAAAGTAGCGCGGGTTTGTTAATCAGAGAGTAAGTCTATTTTCTTTAATTAGAAATGCAGAAACTTCGGAGGATTTTAAGTCCGCATGACACTTTATTTAGTCCGTTCCGAACGAGGAGCGCACGGTGACGCTCCAGCTGTGAGTCTGTCCATCGAAGCGTTTGGTCCACGAGTCCCGTGACTCCCGTCTGCACCTGTTAGATCCTCCCCCAGCCCTCCCCCACCTCCCTCTCTTACATCAGCAGACACGTTCTCATTCTCATTCCCAGACCCATTTGAAAAACAGCATTTATTTTATCCTTTATAAACAAATTTAACCTCAGTTATTTCTCTTTTCAAAGCATGATTTATCTCAAATGGCCCCAAGCTGCACTGACTCTTTCCACCTGAGGCATTCACCTATTTTTAGAGGCTAACTATCATGCAAACAAAAAAATATTTGATATTATGCTGCAGAACGAAGGTGGATGCTTTCATCTTCTCTATGTCAGGCAAGGGAGGACATGAGGGGGGTGAGTGAGTAAAAGGCGTGATGTGTGAGGAATGAGAGGAGAGGCTAAATGGTCCCCAGACCATTGTCTGTGTCTGTGACTCGCATCCCACAGCTATACAGCCTCATTAGTGAGACACCCTGCCCCAGACATTGTGCTGCTCTGTTCTCCTTTACCTAAAATCTTTTACAACATCCACACACTGCTGTAAATAAACATGTGGAGTGCACAGGCAAAGCGGGCTGTCTGTGGAAGGCAGTGTTTGATGTCCTCCTGTAATGATTTGGCAGCAACGTTTTATTATCAGGGTACAAATTGTGTTCTTGGGCCAAACTTCAGCCCAACTCTTTATAATCAGGCAGTAAAATAACACAAACACTTATTATCCTGGTTTTCTGTGATTGTTTAATCAATGCATTGATATGGAAGCAAAGAATATCTGGATTTTTACGTTTTGATTTGAAGGTGTGGAAAACTCGTTTAATTAATATTTTTGCAGTGGTCTAAAGTAGAAATTAATGCCTTGCAAGATGTACTCGGGGCAAAAAAGCCCAGAAACGCCTGCATTAGCAAGGACAAGTCTGCCACATTAGAGGAGAGCTTAACACAGCAGGATTTTGAGTCTCATTTTATTATTTGGACATCTTGCCTCGGATTGGGTAACAGTAACGCAGCTCTTCCACTGACTCAGCTTCTAACCAAGACGTTTTCAGCTGTTTCCTAGATGCTCGAACAGCAGCCTTCCCCGTCACGAGCCAAGGATGAGTCCAAGCGACCGCTTGGCGTAGGTCTGTCAGGATTTTAAAATCCTAGCATTTCACTGTCTATTTTCTATGTATAAGAGACTATTATCATGTTCAGCCTGCATGAAAAGCTCAGAGTGACCAATTATAATCAGAAATAATCATTAAAAATGTGTTACAACGCTAGTTGGAATTTTTAGAAAGTGAAATAATGAAGATTTCTTCATGATCTGTTGAATCGGTTCTACGTTTTGACCCTCATGGCCATGGGATTTTAATTTGATCTAAACTGAAGGAATGTGTTTCTGGAGCGTTATGTAAGGTTATGAAGTTCATTATTTTCAGCTCCACACAGCTGCCCCTGTGCACAGTAACACCCGTGTAGAAAACGCCAAGGTCGGGTGTTCCTCAGACTGTTTACATTCCAGGAGAAGAGCCAGAAGGAGAAGAAGAAGCTTTTCAATAATCAAAGTACTTAATTTGTGATTAAAGCTATTCGAAACAGATGTTGATCAATAATTAATCAAGTGAATGATCTGTGGAATAAAGATGTCATGATTTCTGTGTTTAATGAAAACAGGACTATTGCACAGACAGACTGACCCTCATCTCCATAGAAACGCATGACACATTGTTCCAACCAATCAGAGCTTTCGGCTGCCGCAGGAGAATCTGGCTTGTTGACTTAAAGTATCCAATCCGCTTTACTAAAACTTATCAACAATTCAGAGATATAAAACAAGGCAACGCCATTTTAAGCTCAGTTCCATTTTGACTTCAGTTCTATTCACCGTCATCCCAAAGAAAAGCACAGCCTGGCCAGATGTGTTTTCTTCTTTAAACTAAGAACTGTGAAGTTGGAGATTTTCGTCGTTTAACAACCAGACGACATCCTTTCAAAATAAGAGCACCTGCTGACGCTGCCGATTGGTACCGGGGTCGACCCTTCAGACGGGCTTTGACGTGCTGCGACCGCTGCTTCGACAGCTCCAGTACACATCCGAGGTTCTTGGACCTGGCATTTCCTGATCTACCTGGGAGGCCCCCCACTGGGTACGTACACGGCAAAATAGCAGCTCATGTCATCACTTTATAAGCCTCGTGATATCTAGTCATAACAAAGACTACCAGATTCAATGACGTCAGCCTAAGGAGTCTGAACCAACCACACACACACACACACACACACCAACACAACATCCAAATCCATTTTCATCCATCACAGAGTTAGTCCTGGTAGATTGTTAAGAATTTATAATTAAGAAATTAAAGATTCTCAAACGATCCCAACAATCTCTCTTTTCTTGTCTCAAAGTCAATACAGAGTGTTTAATTAAACTCCCTGATGATAAAAACAGCTTTTGATTATAACAAATGATCTACTTACAGTGTATTAAAATACAACTCTAGATAGTTACATCACTCGATTTCGTTACAGTTATCTAAGCTAGTCGGGCTCAGCCTTGGATTTCTGCCATCTGTGAGGAGATCAGGGGAGATCTGCTGCTCCTCCACATCAAAAAGAGTCAGCTGAGGTAGTTTGTTAACTTATTTTGAAGTGAAATTAATTTATCAAGCATAGTTCTGAAAGCATGCAACTAAAATGAGTCATGCATGAAGCCTCATTCCTGCACAATAGTCATTTTTTCAGTAATATTCCCATTTATTGATATTTCCTGTCCTTTTGGGTCAAGTTTTATTTCATCTTACAATTTCTCTCTTTTTCTTGCAGTCACACTGTAGCATGTGTTGAAAGCACCTGTTCAGTAATAATGAATCCCTTTTACATCACTCACCTTCTCCTTGAATTGTCTCGGCTGCGTGCAACGACGACCGTCGCTCTGATCCAACCCGACAGGAAGAGCCAGATAATAATTTTGAGGTTGTAATCCAAAAATGGATTGAGATTAGTGGAAAATTTGAAAGGAGAATTTCAAAAGATTCAACAGAGGCCATATGATTTTCTAATATTCTGTTTCAAAACAGAGCAGTGAGAGGTAAAACGCCATGTTGGTCTCAGTTTGCAGATGACTCCGTCTCTCCCAGTAAAACACAAGTCCTGAGCAGATAACTGCTGACAGTCACAGGCAACATGTTCAGGATTGGTTTTTTAGAGGCCTTTAAAATATTACTGAGGTGATTAATATTAAAATATGCATTTGTCTTTCAGCTGTCTGTCTCCCTTTCTTCCTCGACTCCATTTGTTCCCAGTTGTACCCTAAATTTCAATATTCTACATTACATTCATGAATTGGGTTTGTTTCACATTCATTGCATTTTGCCTTGTCATGTGACTTACGGATTCAACTCTCCAATAGCAAAAAGGCCACAGTTATTGAGATATTATTTAATAATTAACTTCATGAGTTATAATGCGCCAGGAATAAATCTCAGCCTTTGTGCACATGCCTGCAAGATTTAGATTCTGCTTTTGTGTAAACAGGCGAGAGAGTAGCAGACACTTGTTTATGGCCACATAACTCAAGGAATATTTCTCTTCTGCTTTGTCTGCACGTTCTTTAAAAGACTTAGTGACTATTCGGTTCAGCCAACCAGAGCGAGTTTTACATACCTAAAGCTTTTAGGCAAATCAAGTCATGAGATGGATCACACCAGATTTTGGAGCACATAGACGACACTGTGACATTTTCACTGTTACTATCAACCATCAAGCTTGAGTTTAAAGTAAAAATATATTTTAGACAATTTTATAAAGAAAGTGAGGCATTTTCCTTCATGTCTGCATGCAAATTTTATATTAAATCTCTGAAGCTTTAATTGGCTTGACCTTGGAAAAAGTGAGTAAAAAACAGACTTCTTGTTGACATATTAAACATTATATTACTTTTGCAGACAATTCAAAAAGAATAAAGATTTTCCACTGTTAAAGCCAAGGCATCAGTTGTTCACCTGAGTCTGTTTTATGTAAGCAGAGTGCACGAGTGTGGATGTGTCTACATCCTGGTGCAGCGCGGCTTCATTAGGCTCTGATTATGGGACCAGATGCAGAATGACAGCGTGCAGATTGAGTTGCACAGCTGCTCTAATTCTCTCTATTAATAACAACCTTCCACTCTGTCGTCCTGAACCACATTTATTAATCACAATTTGTCCGAAGCTTCGCCTTCTCCTCCTTCCCCCTTTCTCCCACCCTGCCTTTGTTTTTTTGTGTTTTCCTCCTCTCTCCTCTCTCTCCCTCCCAGCAGGACCAGTTATCCCCTGCACCTCTCCACCTCCACCTCCTCCCACCTTCAGCTCCTTTTGCCTTCAGTCCAGAGACATGGTCCAGCATACTGAACGATGTTCTCGCTCTAACTCGCGCTCTCCCACTCACTTTACCTGCACCCTGGAAGGAGTCGGATTAATCAAACCCTCTCCGGCTTTAATTGGATGAAATAACCGTTAACAGCTCGGACTCTTTCCACTGCGTTTTGTTAAACAAACTGATGATTATAATGAGTGTCTCAGAAACAAGCCTGCATTTTCTGTAAGAGAATGATTTAGATGCAAATGGTAATGCATCATTACAGGGATGCACACGCTTTCTCCGAGCCAGTACTCTCAAGCACATCGATCCTTTCCACTATTAATCCCAGCCATCTGGAATTTCTATGAACACAAACGCTGGCATTTAATCAATATGTGTGTCGGGATATGCACGGTGTATCATTGCATTTGTGAGAAAATATCCCCACAACTAAAATCTTGTTTCTGCTCATGTCTCATTCAAACGGCCTTTGACCCCAATGGGGAAGATGATTTATGAGTCGGTTAGATCTTTCTCCACCAGACCAATTTCTAAGCTGTGCTTATGCTTATTGCTTGTTACTTTTGGGATTTTCCCTAAACTTCAATCTCATCACGTGTTAAGTCTTGTTGTCACTCACTTTGATTCTTTGTGTGACTTTCCGAACACTGTTGCTCAA